GATTTATAAATAATTCTAAGGCAACGTTTTTGAAGTGAAAAAATTTTTTTAACGTTCACAGATGCACCCCAAAAAATTAAGCCGTATTTAAGTCTTGAGTGGACTTGTGCATAATAGACAGACATTGACGCTTGAACATTTATTGTTTTAGTGATGACTCTTAGGGCATAGCAATGCCTTGCAACATTTTCTGACAAAGTATCCAGATGAGATTTCCAATCCAGTCTAAAATCTAGCTCAATTCCCAGGAATTTTGAACTTTTACTAGTTGTTATTGTTGATTTACCATCCGAAAAAGTATAATCATTTTCAGCTGACTGTGAGAATTTGATTGCCTGTGTTTTATTAGGGTTCAGCTTTAGGTGATTTTGTGCAAACCAAGCTTCCAGGGTACTTAAAGCATCGAACACATTTCTTTCCAAGTCATCTCCATTTTGTTCTTCAAGGATAACGGTTGTGTCATCAGCAAATTGTATAGTGTTTAAGTTGTTGTCCATTTGTAGTTCATTGGTATAGAGAATGTACAGCAATGGACCTAGAATTGATCCTTGTGGTACCCCTCTAATTATTGTTACCCTATTAGTACCCCTGTAGGTACTAATAGAGGTACTTGGCTTGATTGAGTACCTGAATTCACAGTTTACAATGCGGATGTGCCAATTTAAAAACCGGTGAGTAAACTAAATCGATTTGATCATTTAACAGGTTACACCCACAATGTTTATGCTTGTGAATTTCCAAGGATTCTAAATAATTGAGTTTGTAACCCTTCCTTGCATATACTTATGATGCACTGTTTGGAAACTTTGGTGTAGTAATGAATATTACTGGAGTTTTTTCCCAACACCAAATCGTTATTTTTAACACCTCGACACGTGTTTTGATCACCAAGTGATCATCTTCAAAGAGGAAGATTAAAACTAGAAACTAATGCAAGCTAACCCTATTTATGCTATATGGGTATCCCATTCAAGGAAACCATCCAGGCGTACCACCCATACAGGTATACCAACCTAAATTAATTTTACAATTTTTCCTTATCTATTATTTTACAATATATGTTTATATAAAACAATTTCAGCTATATAAAAATTAATTTAACAATATTGCCTATCCAAATTTATTTTTGCAATGTGTCCTTATCTTATTACTTAGTAATCAGTAAACTCAACAACATTATTTTATTTTTCATTTGAACAAGCTATATAGTATGCTCTTTGGTATAGGTGCGTCATCGTTATTTATAATATTATTGTGTTTACTTATTTCTACACTCTCATAGGCATCTAGTGGCCTGTTGTTGTTAACTTGTCTAACTAATCTTAATGAACTGAAGTCTATGGAATGGTTTTGTTGCAAAATATGACGGGCGACTGCTGATTTTTCAGGTCTTCCAGGTCTATGTCAGGTCTATGTGTTCCTTATATCTTACTTCAATAGATCTTTTTGTCTGTCCATAATATTTTGCATCGCATTCCTTACATTCAATTTCGTGAGTTCCAGACTTTTCCGAATTCTCGACTTTGTCTTTTAAACTTTCCAAAAGGCTCTGTAGTGTATGACTTGTTTTAAAACCTTGTTTTTAAAGAAATCCTAGATAATAAAATTTCCGAATGCAGCTACAAAAAAAAGTCTAAGCAAAAAAAAAGGAAAATATGGATTACAAACGGAATAATAAATTCAATAAACACTAGAGACCGCATGTTTCAAGAGTATCTACGCAACCCAAATGATGACAGTTTGAAAAGGAAGTACAAACTCTATCGAAATAAATTAAACAATACTAAAAAAAAGGCACGAATTACTTTTTACCGGAATGATATTGAAAAATATAAAAGTGATAACTCAAAATTGTGGGAAACTGTTGGAGAAATTTGTAGGAAAAAAAGGCCAATGAATAAAATAACACATATAAATATAGAAGGAAGATCCACGGATAATATTCCCGAAATTGCTGATAATTTTAATGATCATTACATCAATATAGGCAAAAAATTAGCAAGAGAAATAAAAGTCGATCCAAATTATAAATGTCCGAGAAGAAATATCAATAATCATATGTCAATGTTTTTATTTCCTACTGATTCCACCGAAATAAAAAATATAATTCTATCATTGAAAAACAGAAAAGCGGTGGGGGTCGATGGAATAAAGGCTGAACTTTTGAAAAACACAATTCCATTCATAGCCGAACCATTAGTATATTTAATAAATAAATCTTTCATAGACGGTATTTTTCCATCCGCGCTGAAATTGACACAAGTGATACCAATTTATAAAAACGGCGATAAAAATGAACCTATAAACTATCGACCAATATCACTGATCACTTCTGTAGCCAAAATTTTCGAAAAAATTATAAAAATACGACTATCGTCCTACCTCAAAAAATATAACATTCTTTCCTGTAGACAATATGGTTTTCGAGAAGGTGTGTCGACCCAAGATGCTGTCCTAGACCTAACAACTGAAATGTATTCTGCTATGGATAACAAGAAGGCATCTCTATGTGTCTTCATAGACCTGTCAAAGGCTTTTGACACAGNACCATCCAATAATAAAGCTACCTACAGTTCAACAACAAATGTTATAAACAAGATTCAGGTTTACCAATGGAATCACCCCTTAATCTACTTTTAGCAGACATATTTATGAACAGCTTGGGGACCACTATAGTAAATTCCGACTTGGGTAAGAAATATATTCATTTTTGGTTCAGATATCTAGACGATATTCTCTCCTGTTTCAAACAATTACTTGGCATACAACCACAAGTTCCCCAATCTAAACGATACGGACATTTTGCACTATGCAAAGGGTTACGAATTCAATTATTTATAATCCTTGGATATTCACAAGCATAAACATTGCGGGTGCAACCTGTTAAATGATCAAATCGATTTAGTTTACTCACCGGTTTTTAAATTGGCACATCTGCAGAGGTTGATGGTTTATAAAACTCAGATCATACCTTCTTTGAAATATTGTTCACGTATATGGAGTTCTGCCCCTAAGCATATCCTGAAGCTGCTGAATTCCATGCAGAAAAGAGCCATCCGTCTGATTGGAAACTCGAACACCATTTGCAACCTTGATAGTCTGGAACATCGAAGAAAGGTTGGAGATTTGTCTCTATTTCACGGGTGTTCCAGTGACTTGGCACATTTGATTTCACCAAGAGCGGCACATATCAGAAATACGCGACGGACTGCTCATCGTTTTGAGGTTCAACTCAGAACGCCTTAAGGAATTTCCTGTAGTGCTTGTGTTTTGTCCTTAAAAAACCTAAACCAGATACAGGTAATAGAACACCAAACTACCTGAAGAATCAACATAAATACGCGTTAAGCAGCCGTAATGGATGTATTAACCTGTGAGGAAGCTGCCAGCAAAACGTCAGGAAGAAATTCCAAAAATCCACAACCTTCAAACCCGGAAAATAGTGACACAGATTTACTTACAATCAGAGCAATTACATCAAAATGTGCTCATGTGATTAGGAACATGTTGCTAAATAATACTTTAAGTATTATCTAGTTCAGCTTTTTGAATTTCGTGTTACTAAGAACAAAATTTTATTTGAAATTCCAGGCAAGTTTCGCAACTCTTAGAGAGAGATGATGTATAAGTGGAAATCCAAATTTATCAAAATGGAGAGTGTTTCCTTCATTCTAAAAACACACTTAACTGAAGAAAGGATGTAAACTGGGCCTAGCAATTCCATGTTGTCTGACGCCATTCACTGTCGCAATCAAACTACAGTTGTACACATTTCACTAATCAATCGGTTTCATTCACATCGCGAGTCGTTATCATAGCTAACTATAATCCAGCCTGCCATTACGGATGCCATTTCCATGGAAGTTATTATATCCTTTCTTGCATTGTATCGTTCTTGCATCGATGTAATCATTACAAATAACGTGACTGAGGTCACAGTCAAGGAAACGAATTTAATAAAATCGGTCGCCTTCAGTTGTTACGATTATTGGACAAGTGCCTATTTATTCTGTCATAAAATACAAAATTTATTAACATGACATTAACCAAGGCCAAAAACAGGTTGAAACATATGATAGAACAAACTGACAGGATTAAATAATAATAATAATTCTCGGGATTGTTATAGATGACCAACTCAAATGGGAATCCCATATAATCTATGTAATAAAAAAACTCCAATTTCTAATGCACCGTTTCAAGGTCCTAAGAGACATATTAGACAACAAAACACTCAAAACGTTATATTTCGCTCTCATCCAAACGCATATAACTTACGGGATACTGGCATGGGGATCAGCTGGAAAGACTACTATGAATAAACTGATAATAACACAAAAAAGAATCCTTAAAATAATTTTCAAAAAAAAAGGAATCACCCAACAGATGTTCTTTATCACGAAACAAATATATTTGATCCCGTGCAGCTCTTTTTTCTGATTACTAATATAAAATGCTTCAAATCGAAACAAAAACTCCCCAGGATAGAACACGAATACAACACTCGAACAAAACAACTTGACTTCAAAATGCCGTTTATGAACAAAGTTGTAGGACAAAAAGCTACAGCTACCTCAGCCTCAAATTTTTTAATTCGCTACCCAATCAAATAAAAAGTTCAAAAAATCAAAATGAATTTAAAAAACGATTAAATGACTACATTACCAGTTTGCCACGTACAGAGATTAAAACGATATTTGTCGTGGAGTTTTCAGTTCCTGGCGAGACGAATATCGTCAGAAAAGAGGAGGAAAAACGGATAAAATATCGAGATTTTCTCTTTGAACCCCGCAGACTCTATCCAGACTACTCTATCGAGATGGTTGTTCTGATTATTGAAGTCCTTGGTCGAATAAAGCCCTCTCCACTCTCGAATCTCAAAATCATGCTGGCTTGCATCAATAAGGCAGAAATCTTAGCCGGACGAAGGCAAAGGCTGTCATTTTTGGCTTACAGCGCTTACTCAGGATACATATTTCTCGGACCCAATGATCACTTACCACACGGTGTCATAATGTATCGGTGCTTTGGAGGCTAGGGGCTGACCAGCGCAAACTTGTACTACCTCCGTCACCAATCCGCCATCTTCCAGCTTCTCAACTTTTTTCGACTGGATCATCTGCAGAGTTTCCACCTCCACGTCATCATCCCCATTTCTTCTGTTCGCGATCCTCACTTGAGGTGGCCCTTTGTAAAACCCGAAAGGATCTTGCCCCAAGATCGGTTTTCTAGGCCCCTCGTTCATAATTCTGTCTTCTGCTATCGGAACGTCGTCCAAACTCTGTCTTGGCGGTAGCACGTTTTTCCTCAACCCATGAGAGTTCTTGTGGGTCAGAAATAATGGTGGAGGTGGTGGAGGAGGCTGCATCTTTTCGAAAAACCCGATGGGTCTGTTGGAAGGTCTCTCCAGCAACGGCTGTCTGTTCAATCTATGAAACAAAATGAAGAATCAAGAAAAAATCCACAAAATATTACTTTATATGCAGTCAATTGTCCAAATCTGAACTTTACCACCGTAGTAGAGTCTGAAAAGCTTACAAAAACAAAAATGTTCGTCTAAGAAATATGTTGATCCATTTCCCAACAAAAAGTAACATTTGATCAATTCATTGGATCACCAAACCTTTCACTCAATTAAAATCTTATTGTAATTCAACAAACATTTTGTCGTAGAACATTCCAGGCGGCTTATTCATGTTCAAAATCAAAATCAAAATCAAAATCAAAATGTTCTTTATTAACTATTCTCCATACAATTTTAAGGTATTTTTTTTGTGGTGTTTATAAAATATATACAATAAAAAATATATATACAAATATACAAATATACAAAATGTACACGAGGGTTTCCCCAATGGAGTGGGACAGTGGGAAGGATTGGGATGGGTAGTGAATGGGGTAGAGGGAGTGGCAGGGCATGAACTGCGGCAAGATATTTGGCAAATTGTCGATCCTTTTGTAGGCTATATCAGCTGGAGGTCGTGGTGGACGGTTGTACTCTGGCTTGCCGCTGTAGAAATGCCCCGGCCTCGGGTCCCACGGAGGTCTCACAGGTCTCAACTCGGGCCTAGGTACAGGAGCTATCTCCGTCTGACGCAGCAGGGTTGAGTCGCTCGGCAGCTGGTGATACGTAGGCTTCGAACTGAGCTGCAACACCTCACGGTTCGGATCTGCAGGAGGAGGCACCAGATCCGGAAACTCGGGCTGCTTCTCGTCGGGGAAAACTATTTTATTTCCGGTGCTGCTTTGGGGGAACTCGACCGGGTTGTTAATCTCCAGTTTCTCGTCGACAACCTGGCCGGGTACTTGGCTAACTGGAACTCCGATTGCCAGGGAAGCCTCGGAGTGTTTTAAGGGCTGGATGGTCACAGCGCTGCCTACGATTTCGGGGCGAGTCTTCACTGGGTTGATGAGCTGGAAACTAGCCTCAGGTTCGACTTCGATCTTATCGTTGTAGATAGCTGGCTGACCGTACAGTGGGCGGAAGGGGTTCCTATCGTACGCACTCTCCTTCTGGGGACTGCTACTTTCGTACTGGCCTCCATCGACGTTCTGCTGGTTCCCGATACGGGGCTTCCTCTGAAAATATTACGTTCCGTCTTGAGAATCCACGCAGTTAAAAAAAAATAGTTTTCTAAATTGGCCACCGAGATCGTTCGATTTGACCCCGTTAGACTTTTTCTTGAGGGGTCAGGTCACAGGTGTATACGAGTAAGCCACAAACTACAGCGGCCCTCAAAGTCCTCATCGGTCAAATTCAGCCTGGTTTACGCGCCAGAGTCATGTGAAATTAGAAGTTTCGCATACGCATCATAATGGCATCAATAGGTCTTTTAAGCGAAAAAAATGTCTATGATATCTCACATACATTTTGTTTAATTTGAATTCAAAGATACGAAGCGCTCAGTGAGAGAATTTCATCAAGGATCAATATTATTTGTTTTTCTGCTCATACGAAGCCAGGTCGACTTGCTAGTTTGAAATATTTGCAGGAGTTGATGTAATTTTCGAAATAAAATCTTGTCTATTATATTTGATTATTTGACTATTCTTGGAAAAATAAATCTCCGGGTTATAAACGTATCCGGTGAAAAGTTAGAAACAATCAAAATACTTTCTCTTGTAATGAGCTGGGAAACAATCCGGCAAGAATGCCCCATTGACGTAGCCGTTTTGTAACATTTTCACTTTTCCAGCTAATGGTCATTGTAAGAATGAACCCACAAGAGATCGAGGAATACCACGTGAATCTCTCAATGATTCACACGTACATGTATCTGCGGCGACCGACCGAACTTTCTTCCGATTTCTGAGAATTTCATTCTGGTATATTCATGAAGCTTCTCCTCTTTAATTTTCCCAGGACCGACTTTAATAAAGTGTTACTTGAAAAAGTTATGGATTTTCACGGAGTATCGGCCTATTGCATTATACCTCCCCGAGAGGCTGAGTCTGTAGGTTTGTTCTGGTTCTGCGAAATTCAGGTTCTAGGACGTCAGGATCATGCGCAGTGGATATAGAGCGTTCTGGTTTATTGAGGATAATAGGTTTGTTTTGGTTCACAATTCTGTACAGTTCGATCATGCGCAGTTATTAAAATGTGTTTTGGTTCAGTTAGAACCGTTCTAGTATCGTTCGGAACTATTCCAGAACAGAATTATTAGTTCGTTTGAATAGGGAACGTTTAGAACTTCGAATTTGCTCTTACGCACTAATAAAATTTTTCATTTGCGTTGTGTATTTTGGTAGTAACGTTTTCTTAATCTCATTTTTATCCGTATTTTAGTTGGTTTAGTTAGTGTTTCATTTGGTATTTTATCTACAATACTGTTAGTCTCCGGTAAAACAAAGAAACTCGGAGAGTTCATTGCGACCTGTAAATAAGACAAAATTATATATCAACATTATTCTTATACCATAGCAGATAGTCGTGAATGTATGTAGCAATAATAATAATAATAATCATTATTATTATCACATCTTTTACAATTCCAAAAATGTATTCTTGGCATGTTTTTGTCAAACTCATTAGTATGAGATTACAAAGAGAGGACAATATATTTTCAATTTGATTTTGGATGGATGGAAAAACATCACCACACTTCACTTATATATTTGCTTAACTTTTTCACTCTTGTCTTTAAACTTAACTCAAAAGTCCAATGATCGTTATACCAGAGTAGAGGTACCTACCTGCACGTCGTCCTGGTCGTCGTCTTTGAACTGATTAGAAGTACCTAACCTCAAATCTTTGTTTATACACTTGTCAGAATAATTTTTTTATATGTTTTGGTTTTTTACTTGTTAGGACCGTTCCAGAACTGTTCTGTGACTGTAATGTTCTGCGCATTGATTCGACGTCGATACGGGACGGTTCAATAACAGTTCGAAATATAGAACCAAAACAAACCTAATTTCAGACTGATGAATCTTCTGTTCTGGTTTTGACTGCGAAATGATCCTAAACTGTTTTGAACCGTCCCGAATCGTTCTTGCTCTCGAGGCTGAACTGTTGAGAATTGTTCCCGTTGCTCATGCGCATTCATCTGGAAATTTGTTTGGGCTATTTGCTGGGATGTTTTTTTATTTATTTGATTTGAAAAACTGATGATTGAGGGTAGATAACATTTGAGCTAACTATAGGGATACGCTACATAACAAAATGGACATGATTAATAGTATTTTCTCGTCTGCATCTCTTTATTTATATATACGATAGGTGGCACAGCGGTTTCCTTAAACAAGTGTCCGAGACTATTTCGGACTTTTTGAGATTTTTTGTTTGTACGCACCATGTCTTTCGCAGTTTCCAAACGTTTTGGGATGCTTGAAGCAGAACAAAACTTATTATATGAACGTGTAGGCGTTGAATATAAACAAAAAAATATGAGGAATATAGGAATAGAACGGTTGATGAATATTTAAGAAAGTCAATTGGTCATTTACTTACGAGTAGTTCATATTAGGTTAGGTTAGGTTAGAGGTCGGCTCTGCCGAGTTCTAAAAACCTGATTCGGTCCCCAGCGGGGCAGGCACAAAGTATATGCTCTGCTGTTTCATCGTTAATGAGGTAGTCGGTCGGTTCAGTTAATGGATCGGGAGGTGAAGAGTTGAGAAGCCCTCGCTCCTGATCTAAATTTACAGGGAGGTCAGTTGGAGTCGTAAACTCGACATCCATCTCCTCTGTAGACTCGCTCCTGATCTAAATTTACAGGGAGGTCAGTTGGAGTCGTAAACTCGACATCCATCTCCTCTGTAGACTCAGCGTTGGAAATAATTTTTAAGTTTACTCTGTTCATATTATGGAACTGTCTTGAAATTATCTATTACAGCTAAGTTGTTTGAATTAATTTAAAATAATAATAATAATAATAATACACATACATATACATCTTTGTACACAGGAGCACAAACAAAACAGGAAGAAGGGAAAAAACTTTCAGTATAGAGGTTAATAGGCGGAGTTTCTGCCAAATAAATCGAGTTAACAATGATACTGTGATGACAAGACCAGGAAATTGGCTATGGCAACCGCTTAAGGAAATTTCTTTTTGTATTGCCAAGGTCGGGGACGGACAAGAGACTAGACAGTTGAGTAAGCCTTCAGTCTTTTTTTTTAATTTTCAATTGTAAAAGATCGAAACTTACAGTAGTCGATTATAATGTTTGGGTGCATTATACGAGAAACAGCAGGTGAAGATCGAAGATTTGTGTTTGGGGATGACCAAAACTGAACTGTTCCGTCTGGTGAAACTATTTATTGTTTGGAATGTTCTAAGCTTCTTCAGAGAGTAATCTGGTTGATGAGATATCAAAACTTTATGTGTGTTGGTGAGTAGATGCAGCCTCCTAAGTTTCTCAACTTTTTACCATCCTGTTTCTTCCATTGCTGAGGATACAGGTCATATTTCTGGATAAAAAACGAGAATACTGTCTTATTTTTTACTCGCATCGTCTTAGTTTTGAATTTGTCTTGAACAAATCACGATTTTGGAAACAGCTGTCTGAGAAAGTTATTATCAGTTTGGTTCAGATAGTCGACATGTTTAGTGAGGCGAAATTCTGAATCAAACCACAATCCTAACCTGGATTGCTATCGGAAAACAAATCCTCATGTTTCTAGAAATGATATGAAATCTTATGATTATCATGGAATTATTTTCCAGTTGACTGCATCAACTTTTCTCGATTTCATATCATTCCTAGAAACATGTGTATTTCAGGTTAGCTCCCCAAATTTCTGCTACCGCAGTTGTCGGTTGATTGGTCAAACCACCAACACTGACATAAAAACTTGGCAAGTTAACTTGGGTGTCACACCAATAGGTGGTTCCACTTATGTCTCGCTTGCATTTACGCAGTTATTTTTATTAAGTACTTCTCTTGGTTGGCTGTGTTACATTTAAACAATAGAACATGTCAATACAATTAAACAAGTCACTACTTTCAAAGAAGTTGACTCCTCACTGATATAAAGAAGATTTAGAATCAATTTACTAAAAATCGTTATTTGTTTTAAAATTATGGATTCCCGGTAAAAGCCATGTGGTTGAGAAACAAAGAGAGAGACAACAAACAATTGACAATGACAGCTGTCATGTGATTCAGTTTAAAAAGGTATGTTTGTTTGTCTATGATAAAACTGTGGAACAAACGAGAACTGTTATGGTGCAAGTGTGATCAGAGACGTCTGCTGTTATATAAGTAAATCAACGAGAAAACCCAATATCAAATATGATCAATTTAAAATTAATTAATCGACAACACCCTTATTAGTTTTGAGGAAAACAAGTGAAGAAGTGTTGTTAAATGAAAGTAAAACCCTGCCATAGGGAGGTTGGAACTTTGTTCAAAAATATTCAAAATGTTATAAATAATAATATTGAAAATCCAGAATTATTTCTGGTTTGGAAATCATATATCTAGTAGAAAGGCATAGATTTCACAGAGGTGATCAATGACTGATCTTCTATTAAGGCAATTATTTGACTTTTGACATAAATTACATTTCCAAAAACAATCTTTTAGATGTTTTTCTTTCAATTGATAATATTTTAGTTGAATTATAGTCCTTTTAATGATATTCTTTGAAAACATGATAACTAAGAGCACATCTCTCAGGATGTAATCAATCTACTATCACTTTTATGTGAACTGATTCTATCCTTGAGTAGCCTTGACGTTTGACCAATATATACACTATACTACAATTTAAACATGGAATGGAATATATTAATTGAGTTTGGAAGTTTATAGGAGTTTTATCCTTAAGTTTTGAAAATAATTTATTAATGATTAATATGGTTCTGAAAGCTATTTTTACATTTGAATTTTTGAAAATTCTGCATAAATTAGGTGTCATATCACTGATATATGGTAAAGAAGAGAAGATTATGGGAACTGGATGTGGATCAGCCCCGATTGTGATATTGTCAGGCAGTAAAGGAGTTCTATCCAACTGGTTACTATTGCTGATTTAACGTCAATGGTTGACGTACTAAATAAGATCTTCTTAGGTAGAGGATCTGGGTAGGAGTTATTGGTATTTTTTAAGTGAAAAGAAGGATCGGAAATCTGGAGAATGCGGTTCTTCATTTGCTTGACCAATTTAATTTTCGTTGATTGCTTATGGTATGACCAATAGTTCAGGAACCTACCGGAACTGATAGGCTTACGATACCAATCTATGAGTAAAGTATTTTTTGGTGTTCTGATTACCTTAGTCGTAAGAAAAGGAACCCATTGTTCGTTGTTTTCAGTTTCGATGGTGAACTATATGTAAGGGCCATAACTATTGAAGATGTCCACAAGCTCAGATATTCCATCTTGAGGAATGAGGAGATGATAATGTCATCGACATATTTTTTCATAAAAAAGTCATTAAAGGGAAGTACCTGTAAGTAAGCAAATAATAATAGTGAATCACAATCAAGTCGTGGGTCCTTTTTTTTCAATAACCCGCCCTCGTTAAAGACCTAGGTCTTGTCCGGCCCTGTCGAATCTTAAGCCGAACGTCGATGAGTAAAAAAGTAGATCTTTCGAAGAGTTTTCATTCTCTTTGAAGCACTTAGTGAACGTCAGTCGACTACTTCCTCGCCGCTATCTCGCTGAGGTCACAATTTCTTTCAGTTCATCAGCGAAGATCGCTAAAGTGAACGTCAACGACGATACGTGAAGATATTGCGAGAAGATATACGTGTTCGAAACCGAAAACTTTCAACGGGGTGTTTTTTTTATTTTTCTGGCGACTTGCTGTGAAATTTGTGAAATTTGAAGAATGGTGTGAAGAGTGGTCCTGCTTCTGAAATTGTTATAAATTTGTCGATTGAAGGAAGGTAAGTTGGGATTTTCAGTTTACGTTTTTGTTTATTTATTTTAAGTGTGAGCGAGATTCGAGAAATTCATTTGTCGTAGACTTTCTTGGTGTTTCGTCAACTATAGAATCAGGAATTGATGTTTTCACAATTTTTTTATACAACTCTCTTTCAATGAATGAATAATTGAACTTGTACCTCTTTCAAAAAGATGAAAAAATATGTGGAAGATCCACATATTTTTTAAATAAAATCCACTGAATTTCATGTTTGAAGCCGGACTTCAAAAAATTCCCAAATTTAATAAAAATCCTAGTTCGAAGTAGTAATATGAGTTTGCAGAAAGAATTGAAAAAAAATCTGAGATTGAATTCGAAATTCAACAGAATTATTATCAATTTAAGTGTGAGCGAGATTTGAGAAATGTATTTGTCGTAGATTTTCTTGGTCTTTTATCCCCTACAAAATAGGAACTAATGTTTTCACAGTTTTTTTCATACAACTTTATAATAGTAATGTTTACAATGAAAAAATCAAAGAATACGGAAAAAACAACATTTATTAATTTATTTACTCGGTATATGATTCAAAATAAATTGAATCTCTTTCAGGAAGATGAAAGTAATGAATGGATTATTAGATTTGTACATCTTTCAAAATGATGAAAAAAAGATGTAAAGGGTCCACATATTTTTCTAATGAAATCCACTAAATTTCATCTTTAAAGCCGGATTTCAAAAAATTCCCGAATTGAAGTTGGAGTTTAATAAAAATCCGAGTTCAAAGTGGAAATTTTCAATTTTTTGAGTTTAAAGAAAGAATTTTGAAAAAATACTGAGACTGAATTCGAAATTAAACAGAATTATAATCATTTTAAGTGTGAGCGAGATTTGAGAAATGTATTTTATATTTGTCGTAGATTTTCTTGGTGTTTCATCGACTATTGAATAAGGAATTAATGTTTTCACATTTTTTTTGTGAAACTTTATATTGAAAATGTTTACAATGAAAAAATCAAAGAATACAAAAAAATAACATTTAATAATTTATTTACTGGGTATACGATTCAAAATAAATTGAATCTCTTTCAGGAAGAAGAAAGTAATGAATAAATTTCCAGATTTGTACCTCATTTGAAAAGATGAAAAAATATGTGGAAGGTCCACATATTTTTTTTAATAAAATCCACTAAATTTCATGTTTGAAGACGGACTTTGAAAAATGTCCAAATTGAAGTTGGAATTTAATTAAAATCCGAGTTCGAAATGGAAATTTCTGATTTTTTGAGTTTGAAGAAAGATTAAAAAAAATATTTAGATTGAATTCGGAATTCAACAGAACTATTATCATTTTAAGCGTGAACGAGATTTGTGAAATGTATTTGTCGTAGATTTTCTTGGTGTTTCATCAACTATTGAATCAGGAATTAATGTTTTCACAATTTTTTTGTGAAACTTTATATTGAAAATGTTTATAATGAAAAAATTGAAGAATACGGAAAAAACAACATTTATTAATTTATTCAGGAAGATAAATGTAGTGAATAAATTATTAAATTTGTATCTCTTCAAAAAAGATGAAAAAAAGACGTGAAAGACCCACATATTTTTTAAATAAAATCTACCTAATTTCATGTTTGGAGCGGGACTTCAAAAGTTTAATAAAAATCTGAGTTCGAAGTAGAAATTTTGAAATTTTTTGAGTTCAAAGAGAGAATTGAAAAAAATGGAAATTGAATTCGAAATTCAACAGAATTATTGTCATTGAGTTTCTCCTTCAATGTTATTACAAATGGAACAATACTAAAATATGTAAAAAGTACAAATTGATTATTTTTTCATAAGTTGCGTCAAAAATTTAGAAAATTGCTCTAGAATCAGTTTTATTTATCTCGAAAAATTATACAAAAAATAGTCTGTATTCTCTATTAGTTACTCAACTCAAATTTGTTAACCTTCAAAATTTCCAAATATTATTCTCATAAACTCAATAGTCCAGGAAATATTTAGGAAAAAAAGAAAATATCAAGTGTTTTCGATAATATTCTGAAAGCAACGGAAATATAAAAAATCACCAATTCACCTTTTATACCCTCCGAAAAAAAAGTTATGCATTTTCTATTGAAGTTTATAGTTCAGGAAAGCCCACGAAAACCGATGAATCGGTATTCTGTTTGAAACAATGAGACAATGGAATACCCAGTATGTTTGTCTAACTGAACTACAATTTGAATCAACAGCTTTGAATCGAAAGTGTTACATTTCTAGACATATGTCCCGAAATGTAACACTTTCCATTTATTTGAGTATCTAGTATCTTCAAAATTTTCAAATTGAGAGGGTTATATTTTTGAAAGAGATCAATTTTTGAGAAAGAAAGTAAATTCTATGCAAGATCAACACAGCTTTGTGAAGAGTTTATTTTTAAATTGATCGCCTCCTTCTTTCCTTTGGAAATTGAAGTAGATATCCAAATCTTTCTTTTTCAAATTGTTATTGTTCACTCCCCGTTATCAACATTTCTGGGAATTTCGTATTTATAAAAATATACCAAAAACTTTTTTTTGTTAACCAACTGTCGTTCCTATACAAACCACAACCCCCCCTCCCTCACAAAAGTGGCGCGAGCTATTGATTAACGAGGTTTTCCTTTTCAACGTGCCATTTCTAGCACAGAATTTACAAACTTTTCAAATTCAATAACAAATTGATAACGGAATTATTTCCAGTTGTAATTATTTTCTCACGTTCTAGTGCAGTTTACAGTGAACTGTAAGTTGTAAAGTTTACAGTTTACTGTAAAGTAAAGTGTACAGTTTACTGTAAACCGTAAAGTTTATAGTTTACTGCAAAGTTTACAGTTCACTGTGAAGTTTACAATTTACTGTGAAGTTTACAGTTTACTGTTTAAGTATAACTTAATGTGTAAGTTGTGAAGTTTGTGAAGTTGTGAAGTTTGCAGTATACACTTTACTGTGAAGTAAAGTGTATACTGCAAACCGCAAAGTTCACAGTTTACTGTAATGTTTACAGTTTACTGTTAAGTAAAACTTTATATGGATTTTCGGGCCAGTCACATTTTGTTTTTCAATTTTTGACGAATTTTGCGTATTCAAAGTAAATCTTTAAAAACATAATATTTTGAGTCATCCACTAACTGAGAATAGGGTTGACATTTGAAACGATGAAAGATCTAGTCTATCTTTTTGATTTATTTTAACATTTTGGAAAGTGAGAAGTCCTATAATATATTTATTTAATTTTTCTCACTACATTTCTTGCTTAGTTATTTTTTATTCGGATGATTCGGAGTTGACATTACATTATATGAAAATTCTAGAAAGTCTAAAAAATACGTTTCATTTTTAACATGTTTGAAGGATCATATGAATAAACTTATACTATTCGTTTAAAAAATAACTTCAAACTTTATATGTAGCAGACATGAACAGGGGATCACTCAAAAAAGGATTTGAGAATCTACAAGAATTTTCTCTGCTGAGAACTTGTACAAATGTCTGTGGGATTCAACTCAGTATTTGTCATGGCAATAGACTGAGCGGCAGTGAAAACAGGCTCTCGATTTCCTCCTTCATAGAAAGTTTATAGAAAAAAAATTGAAATATTTTCAATTTAGATTCGTAGTACGTGACCGATGAAAAAAAATCGTAGCTATCACGGAATATAATTATTGGCAATCACAAATTTCATTAAACTCCGATTGATGTTAATAGGTTTTCAACTGACACACATTTCAATATAACTGTTAAAAACGTGAATTTCAGAACAAACACGTTGCATGCTATATTTGAAGTATATCATAACGTGACATTACTTAATTATAAACAGTAAACCTTTCTGGGTGCAACTTTTTTCTTGAGACGGTTATTAATCGCTATACTCTACACCACAGAAAATATAGAAGGTGCCGGAATAATGATATTAAACTCTTCGTTCTTCAGATTTCCGGTAGACACAGAATTAAAGTTCTCTATTCGTTCTTGAGGAAAGATTTTGTCCAAAACAAGCAACAAGCACTATTCCCAATCACCAGAATTACAATAGTCTTGTCGACGTATATACGTATATTTCTCCTGAAGGATGGCAAAAAAGTTTTCATCTCCTCAATCGTCGCAAAACGCTGCTTTTTAATGGGATTTGGGGGGCAAATCTGGTGAATATGGTGGCTGGGGCACGATTACGGTGTTGTTTTTGGCCAAAAATTACGAAGAATAACGAGTGAGCAAGTGCATTATCGTGAAGCAAAAGCCAAGAATTGTTTTTTTACAATACCGGACATTACTCACAAGCGGCGCACAAATTCAAGGTATTGACCGTACGACCATGTGGCAGGAACTGATGCACTATGCCACTGTAATTGAAGAAAATAGTGAGAAGAACTGATTGACAGTGTTTCATGATGATTATCATTATTATGATGATGATGATGATATTATATAAAATGATTTGAAATTCCTTAAAGAACTAATAATAAAAAAAAGAAGAATTAAAAAAGATTAGCTGAAAATAACAATTATATTGAGCGAAAAAAAAACCTGAAATGAAATAACAGTGAAATAAAATACAAGTAAGAATAGAACAATTGAACAAACATCAAAAATTAAAAGAGATTCCAAGCCAAGTTACTTCACGACGTTTCGGGTGATAATTGGGCTTATTCCTCCTAGATCTGACTATTTATAGGTCGTTCGAGTGCTTTCACCTATGCCCTCTTCCCTCTCTCCGCTTGGCTGAATACATTTTTGGACAACATGTAGGTGGCTTCTTTGAATTTCCTCCTAACCCAATGTTCCTCCCTGTGTATGATATCATGATGATATGAAGATCATTTTTGATGATGCCTAGTTCCTTCTCGAGACCTTCCTTCGTATTACAGAGCCTGAGCCTCATCCTATCCGACAATTCTCTGATGTAGGGAAGTGCAAGCACTGGTTGTGACGGCTTCTCTTCCTTGCGAAGCTCCAGCTGTCTTTTAGTCAAAGTCTGTTTCACCATCCCTTT